GAGGGGATGGGGGTGTCTTTCTGGAACATGCCGTGGTCGCAGCCTCTTCAGCGGGGCTGCCTCACCAGGTCCCAGGGCCCCTAGAGAATCGGGCACTAGGAAGGCAGTCCTGCCCTGTCCGTGCCACCTGGGAGCTTGTGACATAGAGTCACGTCCCACCAGGCCAGGCTGACCCCTCACCTGCGGGGCCGGTTTGGAGCACGAGGTAGACCAGATGGACGGAGGCACTGGCCCACGACCCCCCAGGAGAGAATGCTGGTTCCCCGCTCTGCTGGGCAGCCTTGAACACACGGCTCTTCCCTTCACTTTCTTTGTATTTATGACTTTTTCTTCTTAAAAATATCTGCCTCCTTTTTCTTTGTAATATTTTTATTGATGTCAGAGAGGAAGGGAGAAAAACATCCATGATGAGAGAGAATCATGGACCAGCTGCCTCCTGCACGCCCCTGACAGGGGATCGAGCCCGAAACCCAGGCCTGTGCCGACCCAGAATCGAACCCTGACCTCCTGGTTCCTAGGTCGATGCTCAACCCTGAGCCACGCGGCCGGGCGTATGGATGACTTTTCGTGTGCTTGCTGCTCTAGTTCACCAGCCGTGGTTTATGCATTCACTGCTCCAAAGGCCCCGTGTCCCAAGGTGTTCACACAAACATTTTAAAACGACTCAAATGCCGCGATGCGAGTGGAAGGCCCCTGGCCAACCCGCTTTAATACCGCGAGTCTGTGGGCTGTCCTGGCCCCGGCCCCTCCTAGGGCTCTGGTTCCCGGGGACGGGCTGGTTGGCACCAAGTGGGACCCTGGGTGACAGGGAAGGTCATCGCTTTCGTGTGGCCATGAATTCAGCCGTGACCAGGGTTTCAAATGGGCCGTCATTTCAGAACTCGCTCTTGTGCCGCTGGGAAAGGTTGGCCCTGAAGTCCCGGTTCAGGGGCCTGGGACACCCATGGGAAATGCCAGTGGGCGGGGCCTGGGACACCCACAGGAAATGCCAGTGGGCGGGGCCTGGGACACCCACAGGAAATGCCAGTGGGCGGGGCCTGGGACACCCACAGGAAATGCCAGTGGGCGGGGCCTGGGACACCCACAGGAAATGCCAGTGGGCGGGGCCTGGGACACCCACAGGAAATGCCAGTGGGCGGGGCCTGGGACACCCACAGGAAATGCCAGTGGGCGGGGCCTGGGACACCCACAGGAAATGCCAGTGGGCGGGGCCTGGGACACCCACAGGAAATGCCAGTGGGCGGGGCCTGGGACACCCACGGGAAATGCCAGTGGGCGGGGCTGCAGATGGGGGTGTCTTTCTGGAACATGCCGTGGTCGCAGCCTCTTCAGCGGGGCTGCCTCACCAGGTCCCAGGGCCCCTAGAGAATCGGGCACTAGGAAGGCAGTCCTGCCCTGTCCGTGCCACCTGGGAGCTTGTGACATAGAGTCACGTCCCACCAGGCCAGGCTGACCCCTCACCTGCGGGGCCGGTTTGGAGCACGAGGTAGACCAGATGAACGGAGGCACTGGCCCACGACCCCCCAGGAGAGAATGCTGGTTCCCCGCTCTGCTGGGCAGCCTTGAACACACGGCTCTTCCCTTCACTTTCTTTGTATTTATGACTTTTTCTTCTTAAAAATATCTGCCTCCTTTTTCTTTGTAATATTTTTATTGATGTCAGAGAGGAAGGGAGAAAAACATCCATGATGAGAGAGAATCATGGACCAGCTGCCTCCTGCACGCCCCTGACAGGGGATCGAGCCCGAAACCCAGGCCTGTGCCGACCCAGAATCGAACCCTGACCTCCTGGTTCCTAGGTCGATGCTCAACCCTGAGCCACGCGGCCGGGCCGTATGGATGACTTTTCGTGTATTAGCTGCTCTAGTTCACCAGCCGTGGTTTATGCATTCACTGCTCCAAAGGCCCCATGTCCCAAGGTGTTCACACGAACATTTTAAAACAGCGACTCAAATGCCGCGATGCGAGTGGAAGGCCCCTCGCCGACCCGCTTTAATACCGCGAGTCTGCGGGCTGTCCCGGCCCCGGCCCCTCCTAGGGCTCTGGTTCCCGGGGACGGGCTGGTTGGCACCAAGTGGGACCCTGGGTGACAGGGAAGGTCATCGCTTTCGTGTGGCCATGAATTCAGCCGTGACCAGGGTTTCAAATGGGCCGTCATTTCAGAACTCGCTCTTGTGCCGCTGGGAAAGGTTGGCCCTGAAGTCCCGGTTCAGGGGCCTGGGACACCCATGGGGTGACAGGGAAGGTCATCGCTTTCGTGTGGCCATGAATTCAGCCGTGACCAGGGTTTCAAATGGGCCGTCATTTCAGAACTCGCTCTTGTGCCGCTGGGAAAGGTTGGCCCTGAAGTCCCGGTTCAGGGGTCTGGGACACCCACGGGAAATGCCAGTGGGCGGGGCCTGGGACACCCACGGGAAATGCCAGTGGGCAGGGCCTGGGACACCCACGGGAAATGCCAGTGGGCGGGGCTGCAGACAAACCACGCAGAGACCAGGTCCTGGGCCTCAGGTTGGAGGCGTTTTTAGTAACAAGCTTTTACCAAAAGTCCAGCGACAAAGGAAGAGTTTACTTAACAAAGTCAGACCCAGAGGCACGTAAAATAATATACAAACGCAGTGAGCCCACGGTCAGGTTCACAGGTAAACTGTCCACGGCTCTTAATTACATGAATTTTGTTCAAAAGAACGGGCTCCTTCCGGCCCCGCGACGGGCACCAAACGCCACACCAGGACGCTCCGCGCAGCTTCCAACACTCAGCCGTCCGCAGCTGGGACGGGACACGCGGGCTTAACTACTTCCTGATTCACCTTCTTCATTAAAGAAAAAGCAATGTCAACAGTTTACAAAACAAGGATGTCTGAAGCAGCAGATAAATGTACTCAGTGCCGGCTGTGCCGGAGGCAAGAGGAGTGGCTGGCGAGTCCCACGCGTCTGACCACCGACCGCCGTCACCTGATCCCCTCCATCCCCCACCACGAGTGGGTGTTTATTCATCAGAAAGAAAACAGTCACATCACATGCTCACACGTGTGTAAACCACGAAGAGGCAGCAGACACGTGGCCTTGGCCGTGCACCTCGCGTGGGCCTGGCACGGCGGCTGCAGGAGGGGCGTCTCTCCTGACGAGGAGGCCCCTGCGCTTCGGCTCCAGAGGCCCCGTGAGCAGGTGAGCCACAGGAAGGCACTTGCCCGTCCGCCAGGCAGGAGGACACCATCGGGTCAGGGGGCGGACGTTCCGGGAGTTAGCAGCCTGCCCCGCTCCGCACTCCGGCCAGTTCCCCGCAGTGTCAGTCTCGGACCCGCTGGGACTTCGGGGTCAGGCCCCGCGGCTGCTGGGCGTCCCGGGCGTCGACGCCCTCGTGCGCTGCCGGTCGTACTTCACGGACACGAGGAGGAAGAGCAGGAGGGTGGCGCCCTGGACGGCGGCCAGGAGGAAGAAGTAGTAGTTCAGGTGGCAGCCGTTGATGTTGCCTGGAACGGAGAGGAGGCGTGAGCTGCGCCCGGGACGGTCGCAGGGTCTTATCTGTTTCAGGGGGTCCCTGCCTAGGTCGGCGCCTTTCTCCTGTGGCCACAGAGGCGAAGGGTCACCCGTCCGCGATCTGGACACACGGCCTCCTCCTCAGAACCGGCAAGGGCACCGGAGCCACCCGTCGGCACCCAGCCCCTCAGAGCTGCGTGCGTCCCCAACACCTGCACGCGAGCCCCACACGCAGGCAGACCAGGCCGGCCTAGAGCTGCTGAGAGGGACCCGCTGGGACTGGAGAAAGCCCGGCCTGGTCACTCCCTCCCCGACGGGCAGCCAGTCTCCTCGTCAGCTTCCCTGCACAGGAGTCGGGGACTGAGCCCAGGACCTGGTGAGCATGGCGCTGGTGTCTGAGGCCGGGCATGTCCTGCAGGGGGCACCCTCTCTCTCTCAGACCCCACAGAGCACGGAGCCATCGCAGAAAGCCTGCTCCCAGCCCCCAGGAAAGCCGGGAG